TAACTTGCAATAGTGTTTAAGACTTTGGTACACTCTAATTCTAAATGCATGGGCCTCACACGAGTGTATGTGTTGTACAAGTAATATAGGATTTTTGAGTCTGAAATATCAATCCCACAGAGCGTGACATAATTAAACTTAAGAGAAGTTCTAGCCTACTAAAATTGGTCGTATCTTGGAAGTAAAATTGGGTTTATGTTGTTATAACTAGTCATACTAAATTCTAGCAAACTACTATTGAAGGTTTATTCCTACAGAAATCCTACTAAATATATTTGAATTCATGAAAAATCAAGATATAAAACTACCCTTCCTTGTAATGTTATAAGTGGTGTGTAGGAAAATGAATATTTTAAATTTTAACTGTGCCTAGTGACAAATAGGAGCAACTCTCTTATTTACTTTGTCCCGAGTGCTTAAAGAAGTTTGGTTAAACTGGTTTTAATTCCTAAACCACAAATTGAATCGATCAACGATTATTTACCTATCTATTTGCATCTCCCTATAGTTTACTTTTGCATCATACCCTATAGTCAACGTGAATATTCTAATTATTCTTCCATAGCTCTCCTGAGTCATTATGGATCACAATAAGGGTTAACTAATGAAAAGTAAATGAAGCTTTGAAGAATACTCATCACATTAAAAAATAAAAAACCAATTTTTATAGTATTCTAATATCTTTACACTTCCCACTTATTCACCAAAATAAGAAAGGTAAAAAGTACAACTCACAAAGAATGAAGGAATTGTCATAAAAAATCTTTGAAACAAATTGGATTCACAAGAACTGTGTTTATAAAAAATTACAGTACAAAAGAGTACACAATACATAGTTTTTCCCCTTTACAAAGTGCTTAAAATTCCTCTTTTGTTGCTTTGTTGAATATCCTCTTTACAATATCACTCAAATTCCTCACCAAACTTTCAATAAAATGCAAACTATCTTCCCCTACTATAAGACTTTGACTCTGGACTTTACATGGACTTCCAGAGTGTTTAAAAGGACTCAACATCCTCCAAGGAACCCCCTATAACATCTTCATAACTCCCAAAATCGTAGAGGAAAAACTGCAGAAAACCACCTAGTAGGTTCTAGTGCCTAGAAAACACTGGGTGTCAGCCTCTCTGTTTGGTCAGGTAAGCAGTGGTGCCTAGGAGCCCATGTAGATGGCATTAAGGTGCTTGGTAGGAGCGCCTTGGCACCCAATGGTTAGCGCCTAGGTGTCAGTCCCTTGAGTTTCAATTTGCTCCATGTCACCTCCGCTTCACTCTATTTCTTTTCCACTTCATTCCACTTCTACTATTTATTGTACCTGCAAGAAGAACATAAAAATACACTTTTTAAAAGTGCAATTTAATTCATAAAAATGTGCAAAATATAAAGAAAGTTAAGCATGCCTTTGTACACAACAACGTCGCCACACCTCTAGGCCTTCACTAATAATATTTAACTTTTTCTAGGTCATGTGGTCAGAGTGCATTTACTTAACAACTATAGTGTGTAATGAAGAAGTCATTTTTAATCTGTGAAGAATGCAAGAGATGCCCCGGGTTGTATGGCTGAAGAAGCTCAATGAATTAACTAGTCTTAGAACAGAGTTGAAAGGAGAATTTGTCAAGGTTGTAATACCTGTCCTAGATTTTATAGTTGGAGATACTCACTAGTGCTGACATGTAATAGACATAAGTCATGTGAAAATTCACCATGAATGGTTGACCAATGTAACTTCTTATGAAAGAGGTAAAAAAAAATTCACGAAGTATTTATTGACATATTTGAGGCTGTTAGTTGAAGCTTTTGATTCACCACCATAGTCTATGACTGAAGAGGTCAAATAAATTCCCTTTGGGGTTGATTACACTTAGAAAGAGGTGATAGAGATGCTATGTGTTTCTTGAGACTGTGGTGTATGTCACAATGGACTATATTTTTTCATGAAAATATGGTTGCATCCATACACAAAAATAATATTTGGCAACTTACAAATTGCTGCTTATAAATTTTGTCATCCCTTAATAGAGTGTTTTCCTCACGAGCTTATAAAGGAAGCCATGTATCAAAACTTGAAGAATACAGCTTCCCCATCGAGTTGAGGAAGAACTTCAGTATGGTGGGGGTGTTGTGGAAGTTTATTTATGATGTTTTTGCTTAATCGGAAGAAGTTTTTGAAGATTTAAGTTTTGAATGAAACGTTGGATGACTACCCTACCTTAGTTGTGCCCATAAATTTAATGTGAATAATCTTTCAAGGCTATATTGAACGTTGCCCCCTAACCCGTAAGAAGTTGTAATAGACTTTATTTTTGGGTACGATGCGATAAGAATATCCTACAATTATTGTGCTTGGGGTGTTGAAATTTCAATTTGGTAATGAAGGTTTCCTCTAACATTAAAGAATTCTTCATAGATGATCTTCAAGATGTGCGAATGAGGTTCCTTTATCAGTTGGATGATGTATATCATTGAGAAATGAAGTACAAACTTGGTGTCTCATATTTGAAGAGAGTGTCAAACTAGACCTTTTTTCCCACAAACATAGCCAAACTGATGTCTGTTAGATTGTTTGTGATGGTAGAGTAACAAATTATCATCTCAGTGTTGAACAAAACCCCAACACACTCTCAGATAATTAAAGAGAATTAGGAAGGAGGAGAAAACTCATTTTTTTTATATGAAACCTTGGAAGGGAAAAATTGTAGGTTCTAGCCAAGTTAAAAAAATCCATTATAAATGGTGAGTACACAACTCTACTCTTCTCTTGAGTTAGGGAAAGAGGACTTAAAAGTATATCATTGTAAGTGTATAACAGTAGTTCATCAATAAAAACTCTAGTCCAGATGTAATGACTTTAGTTCTCGGTGATGGCTGGATGCAAGGGTAGTAGTCAATTATTATGGAGGTAGTAGCCTGTTGTGAATGTTGTAGATAATAGTTGTAGCATTAACTTATCATGTATGTCATAGTTCAAAGCTATGACAATTGTTGACTATGTGGGTTATAGATGCTTACTTTTAGAAGCATCAATTGGTCACAAAGATTGTAATAGAATGTTGTAGAAGATATGAGCCCATAGGTCGCAATTGCTTACATAAGCCGAGTGATGAGCTACGATACTGTCGGTAGGCCGCAAAGACTAAAGTTGGAAGTTGTATGATTCATAGTTGTTCATATATGTCATAATGAGGAGCCATGATGAAGTCCATAGGTCGTAGAAGTAGGGTCGGGAGTTGCAAGAGTTGTAAACCTTATTGGTTATCATGGTGAGCAATGGTGATGTTCGTAGGCTGCAGAGGTTAGAGTTAAGAGTTGCATGAGTTGTGAGCCACATACACCATAGTGTTGAGTTGTGATGATGTTCTTAGGCCGCATGACCAGAATCAAGACATGCAAAAGTTGTGGATCACATATGTTATAGTTAGTCAGAAAGGTCGTTGTAGTGAGCTACAATGACATCTATATGTCACAGGGGCCGGAGTTGGATGTTGCACAAGCTGTGAGCCATATAGGTCATAGTTGGTCATATAGGTCGTAGTGGTTGCTCTATCCGTAGGCTGCATGGGTTAGAGTCGACTACATATAATATTACAAAACTTAGAGTTTAAGTATTTGTATTTTTTACTTTATATTTTCTTAATCTAACTTCTATCAATTGAATAAACGTTTGGATTGTTATTTTTGTTTAAATCTCAGCATAAAGTTTTTTTTTTCTTCGACAGCTCTATTAATTTCATTAACATGAACAATTAAATTTAATCGATTATTCTTATTTTATTTATTATAATAAATCTAATTTAACGCATTAACTAAAATTAAGTTTTGAAATTTAAATAATTTAATAATCTAGCGGTAATATTTTTGAAATTTTAAGAATTTATAATTTTTTTTTAAAATGACTTGAACTTTCGATGAATTCCTGATTTTCACCAAGAATTCGTCGGAACTAACAATGTTTGTAACTTTCAACCAATCCCTTAAAAATAATTAAAATTAAGAAAATTTATAAGCTTTCAGGTAGGGGTGTAAACTAACCGAACACGAACGAACAAAGCTTGTGTTCGCGTTCGGTTCGTTTAAAATTTAGTTTGTTTGAAATAAGCTCGTGTTCGTTTCTTAACGAACGAACCGAACACGAACCGAACACGAGCTGTTCGCGAACGACGAGCCAGTTTATATTAGTATATTACTACTATAGTATATTAATATATTATTATTATTATTTTATTATATATTATAATTTATAAAATTTAATGTTTTAAAATATAATAAATTTTTTATATATAATTATTTTATATTATTTTATATTTCAAACAATAACGATTCGAACACGAACGAACGCATCACTGTTCGTGTTTGGTTCGTTTAACTAACCGAACGAAAAAAATTTGTTCGCGTTTGTCTCGTTTACTTATCGAACGAATCGAACACGAACTCATTGACGAACCGAACACAAACTGTTCGCGAACAACGAGCTTTTTTGACAGCCCTACTTTCAGGTGAATTTCAGTTGAAATTTAATCATAACCTCCTAAATTTGCCCGAAGCCCCAGAACCTAAAACCACGCCAGTCTTTTTTCCAACAAAAAAATCCAGCCAGTATTCCGTATTCCCTTATCTATTTACGCAAATACCCGTATTTCTATCCTGCGCCACACTGACAGCTACACGAAACTTTAGTATCAAACAATCCCCGCTTGACAGTGAATCCAGGCCGTCCAATTAATGTGGAGCCTTAAGCAAAGACAGCTGTGATCCTGCAGCTGAATCTGTACCGCTACCATCTCTATTACTATAATCATGACAGCGTGGGCGACCTCCTAATTCCTAGAAATAAAAGAGGCCTTCAAGAAGCATGTATTTATATCACATAATCCTTTTATTTAAATACTTATTTGTACAATATTTTAATTTCTTAACCAAATATGTTTTGAATAGAAAGATTAAAAAATCAATACAAAATTATATGATGTGTGTCTCTAAATCCTCCTATTTATATTTGTTTCGTAAGTCTCTAAGCTTGCAACCACTGATCCTCTTTTGTTTGCACGTCCTGAAAAAATTAAGAGGACGCCGAGAAATTAACGCTGTGTGTCGCCCTAAGCAAGATGGGGTACTGGAAAAATAAGGTTCTTCCGAAGATAAAGAAAGTGTTCGAGAAAAACGGAAGCAAGAAGGCCGCTGCTGAGGCGTGCAAGTCATTTGATGACTCCAAGGAAGAGATTAACAAAGAATTCGAAGAGAATAAGACTGAGCTCCAGCCCAAGGTTTTGAAGATCTATGAAGCTTCCTCCACTGAGATCAAGGTATATATATAAATATATGGCTTTCATTTTCTTAGATATATAATCTTTAAGCTCAACTTTTGTTCTTCATGTTCAAGTAAATCGAATTATGAAACAGATTTTAGTCAAGGAACGTACTAAAGCCGGGATAAAGAAGCACTCCAGCCTTGTCACCAATTTTATTGATGAACTCGCGAAGATTGGTATGTAGACATGCTTAGCACACAAAATTTCATTGAAATACGAAAATATAACAAGAGAGGTTGTGCCGCAAGCCATGGCCTCTTGGTTGACAGGGTTCTCTGTAAGTCCCTTTAGGTCACGGATTCGATTACCAGTGACACTGGGTTTTCAAATATTTAGGCACTCTCATGATAGGACTTAGCGGCATATGCCAAATACGGATTTCCTTAAAAAAAAAAAAAAAAGTGATTTTTTAATCTCTAAAAAGTTTCAAATCATGAATATATACTTTGCTCAGTAGACGTTAATATTTGTATAATGATTCTGGCAGAGTTCCCTGGATCGAAGCACATATGCGAGGCTGTATCCAGTTTGGGGCCGGGCAACGTCTCGGCTCCCGTAGTCTTCATACTTGAGAAGGTGTCCACCTTGGTTCCGGCCGACGAGACCTCGGTGGCCGCAACTGAGAAAGAAGTGGCCATAACTGAGGAGGATAAGAAGGCACAGGAATCAGTAGAGAAGATTGAAGGCAAGACAGTGGAGGATGAGGAAACAATCTCCACGCCGCCACCTGCAGCTGAGGGGGCGGCGGCGCCGGCTTGATAAATCGTGTTGGTGAAGGATTCGAAAACATGATTGATCGTGGTGGTGTCCTTATCATTAAGCTGTCTCCAGATTTAGTATCTTGTGGAATATTTTTGTCAGTTGCCGCTCAACCTCACATGCATTGTTTATTATTACTATATTTTGTTAGATGCCTTCCTATCTTAGTGACTTTATGTATTTAATTGTGTTGGGTTCCTTGTATGATGGCTTGAATTTGTTGCATTTATATGTAATTATCATTTATGAAATTAAAACGTTTGTTTTTTTTTTTCTGATGTAAAATTAGTGGGAAAATTCTTTTATTAATTCTATTGCGCTTATCTATATATATATAGATGGGTCCGTGTACTCCATTAAGGGACCTTCCTGGGGGAGAAAATGCAACTTTGTTTCAGTATTGATATATGAGATTGGAATAATGGAAATGAAAAAAATAGGACTCATTTTTGGTACAAGAAATTATGGCATGCGGAAATCACATATTCAAATGATGATTTAGAGCTCGTTTGGGGCAGCTTATTAAGTGCGGTGGCAGTATGAAAATGCCGCAGGCTTCTTTGAAAAACACGTTCGGCTCAATTTTTTTCTGCCGCTCCGATGCACTTGAGTAATTTTGTTAAGAGACAGAGAAATGCAAAAAAGGCCACGTCTTGAGTCTTCTGTGCGCGTTAGGGGGAAGAATTCCTCCCGTGCCCCTCTCCCCCTCTCCCTCCCACTCCCCGATCTTATTAGCTTCTCACCCTCGCGGAGGTCGACGCAAATGAGGTAACATTCGACCCTCTGTTCTCCCCTCGCCCTCGCCCTCCTAGAATTCGGGTATCGCGTTCGCCATTGCGCTTCGTTTTATCGCCACCTGTTTTCTCTTTCCACCGGAGCAGCTGCAATGGTTGCCGCTTACCCGTCCTTCATTTCCACCTTGAAACCGCAACGGTTGCCCTTTCGTCCGAAGCAGGCACAATGGCAGCCACAAGTTTTTTTATGCAGAAAAAAATTGAAGTTTTAGTGTTGATTCTGGCTGCAGAGAGAAAATGTGTTTTAGAAAATGGTTATTTCGTTTTTACTATTTATTTTGTTTTTTTAATGATTTCTGTGGTTAATTGAAGTCATCACATGTGAGGAAATGAAGGTGTTTGTTTAAAATTAATATTGATTTCTAACTCTAACCAATTAATTGATTGGAATTTTTTTCAAACATTATTTTGAATTGAAACAATTTGGAAGGAGAAGGATCTTGTTTAAACTTTTTTTTTTTTTATTTTAGTGGATATACCTTGCTTTTATTTTGTGATTGGCTTTTGAAAGTGGTTATTTTTGTAGTGTTACTAGAGAATAAAAGCCAATATGTTTGTGTAACTAGATTTGGATGGGAGTTGACCGATCCATGTTTGGGTGTCCTCTAGTGTTTGACATGAATGTTGTTTATCAATTGAGCAGTGTATTCTATTTGTTTGAACTGATGTGTAACAGTTTGAGGCACTGTTCTGTGTATTATTTCTCTCATACAGTTCTGTTACAAACAGTTTCGCCAAACAAGGGCAAAATAGTCATTTATCCAACCACAGCTATCAATAAGCTATTCTTAATAAGCTATTCTTAATAATAATAAGCTCCCCCAAACAACAAGCCAGCTTATTCTGATAATCTGCAAATTATCAGATTATCAAAATAATCTGTTTATCAGCAGATTATATTTAATCAACAGCTACTCCAAACAGACCCTTAGATAGGTCGTTGTGCACTCCATGCCAATATGATCGTATTTGAACCATCGTCTAAACATACTGTCATCTACACCAAATAATTTTCCTTTTACTACATCACGCGTGATAGGTGGCATACTGAGTGTGCAACAGCACATGAAGCTTGCTGACCAGCACCCTGAAATTGTATGTGACACGTCACATAGACACACACACACATATATGCATACACACATATTTAGCAAAACTTAGCAAATTGCAAACTCTAAAACAAGACAACCGTTTTCAATCTATAAAAAAAAAATCGAGCTCCATTTTAAAATGTGATTCCTGATTTTTATTATGTTATTATTTAGTTGTTTTTTTTAATATAAGAATTTAAATTTTAATTCAATATAACTAAAACGAAAATGTTCATCATAATATATGCTTTTTTAGCTATTGTGTATTTTCTTAATAAATAAAAATTTTAATTTGAAGAAAAAAATTCTAATTAATCTGAATTCTTTAGAATAATTTTAAGTTTTAAATATTTAATAGGAAATGTAGAAATATTGTTCAAAATCCGAAAAGCTAATTAAAAGTGAAGAGCCAAATCTAATGTATTTTAGAAGCTTTTATTCTTTTTAAAAGTGATATAAAGTATTGATTTATTTTAGTTTGCAAAATACTCTCCTGTTATAAAAATATTATATATATATATATATATATTGATAGATAGAAATATATGGATATAAATAAATTTTTAGTCTAAATAAAATGGCTCGATTAGACGACCCTAATGATATAAGAATTATCTTGATCCAATTTAAAGTACTTAAGATTCATACACCTGAAAGAATAATTGAAAAAACTGCAGTTCCAACAGTCAACTCAGCAGAGAACAAAAATTAGATCAATGACAGATCGAATGAATAAAGAATAGTAAATCGAGATCGAAGACGTGGCCAATATATTTCATAGCCTACTCAAGATACTGAATTTTAAGTTACCTGAGGCCAAGAGGTCGGGTGAATGTTGACATGAAGGACCAGCCCCACTATTGTGCCTACCATAGAATACTCGAGCACAACATTGAAGATTTTTTTGTCTTCAAGGACTACTTAGAATACAACTTTAAGGCAGGTGTTATGGTATGACTCATATACCACATATAAACAAAGGCTGGATTGAAGTGGAGCGGAGCGGAGCGGAAAAATCTGTCCAAATCGGGAAGTTACGTTATGTGGATTGGGGGTGCGAGGGCAACGCCTCGCGGTACGGTGCAGGGGTAATGTTGTAATTACATATTGTACTTAGAGTTTACTCCTGACGTTATAAATAGACATGTTAGTAACCTCAGAAGGGATCCTATATTCTGTAATCACTTTTCCGAATATTGAAAGGAACTCACCGCTCTGCTCCTGAGGAGGTAGGCTTCTTTGTCGAACCTCGTTAAATTTCTGTATGTTCTTCTGGATTTGTGTCAATTCCTATTTTTCTTCGCCCTAAGTTCTCAACAAGTGATATCAAAGTGAGTTTCTAGGATAAGGCAGAGGAGAAATCTTGGCGCAAAGGAGTTCGCGATTTTGGGTCCAGCGGCGCCCGATTAGGCGGAGAGAAGGATTGCAGGCTAACAGTTTGTAACCCAAGAGAGATTGATCAGCCGTTGGTGATACAGGCTAGTGTTCCTCTGTTCTCGACATAGGAGTAGCGCAAATTAGGATCGCGACCAGACATTCGGCAAGCAGGAGTCGCACGTTAGATTCGGCGAGATCGCACTCCTAGCGAGGATTTGTGGCAGGACTAACGCAGAGGCGACGGCGAAGGAGTTTGGTCAGGCTTTCGTGCGACAAGGCTTCTTTCAGCGGTGGGTGAATTCGCAAATCTTGTGGGAGTCAGCGGCGGGCGAATTTGCAAACATTGCTAGGAGGCAGAATCGAAAGCTAGGAAAGGATTCCTTCTACGGAGCGGAGCGAAGGAAGAGTCCCGAATTGCTGTAGGGGAATTCCTTTGTGGGACTTCGGTGCAAAAGGAGGTTTCTGCGATTGATTGGGGAGAAGAAAGCAGAGGAGAAATTGGGGAATCTCCCGATTTGCTTCTTTCCTGGTTCAAAAAAAAAATATCTTGCAGGTGGAAGACTTGGCTTCCTTCTCTAAAGGAGAAAATTTGTGATTTTCAAATTTTGATTCCGATTGTATTTCTTTGCTAGAGATATTTCTTGGTGGTGCACGCGGTGCTATTCCAGGACGCGGAAGCAAGGAACAGATGAAGGATTTTGAAGGAATTTTTCAGAAAAGTTTTGTTGCAGGTTTAATTTCATATGACAACTTCTGGTGCAAAATTCGAGGTGGTGAAGTTCGATGGAACTGGTAACTTCGGATTGTGACAAACAAGAGTAAAAGATCTGTTGGCTCAATAGGGAAACTTGAAAGCTTTGCGGGCACCAAAACCAAATATCATGGAAGATGAAGATTGGGAAGAATTGCAACAACGAGCAACATCAACTATACGCCTATGTCTGGCAGATGAAGTTATGTATCTCGTGACGAATCTAAATTCTTTAGGGGAGATATGGAAGAAATTGGAAACTCGGTTTATGGCTAAATCTCTGTTAAATAAACTGTATCTGAAGCAAAGGTTGTATGGGCTGAAGATGCAAGAAGGTTCTGATCTGGCGCAACATGTTAATGGCTTCAATCAAATAATCACAGACTTATCACCACTTGATGTGAAAATATTGAGGATGAGGATCGAGTGATGATTTTGTTGTGTTCGTTGTCTTCTTCTTATGAACAGCTGGTGACTACTCTTACATGTGGGAAAGAAACTATCAAAGTTGATGAGATTACTGCAGCATTGTTGTCTCACAATTAGCAGAAGTAGAATGCAGGGGAAAGCTCTCATGGTGACAGTTTATATGTGAAGAGTAAGCAGAATCGTGGAAGGAAGAAAGAAAAGGAGGGTTCTGTAAGGCAAAGTTTCATATCAAAGTCCAAAAGAAAAAAAAACAATTCATTGTTACAATTGCAATGAGCCAAGTCATATGAAGAGAGATTGTCCAAAGCTAAAGAAACAGACTGGGGAGAAAGGTGTTGCATCATCGAAGTCTGTAAATGTGGTGCAGAGTGACAATTCAGATTGCAGTGATGATGACATGCTTTCAGTTTCATCAACTTAGTTTACGGATGCATTGATTCTTGATTCAAGGTGCTCTTATCACATAACACCTAACAGAGAGTGGTTTACTTCATACAAGTCAACTAATGCTGGCTTAGTTTATCTAGGTGATGATAGATGCTGCAATATTATTAGTATTGGAGGAGTCAGAATTAAGATGTATGATGACACAGTTAGAATATTATGTGATGTCAGACATATTCCAGATTTGAAGAAGAATTTGATTTCCTTTGGCACTCTAGATGGAAATGGTTTCATTCCTAAGAAAATGAGGATAGGAAACCATCAGAATTGTTAAGGGTACACTGTTAAGGGTACACTGACGGTACACTGACGGTGATGAAAGGAAAGTTAATTGCATGTAATATCTACAAATTATTGGGGAGTACAGTTATAGGTGGATTTCATT